GAATAACCTTTATTCCAACATTGAAGGCATGTGACAGAATTCAAAATGTGATGTCAGATTTGATATTTGATTCCTAAACTGCGGTGAGCTTGCAGGTTATATTAGGAGCTTCCATTCTGACTCCAACCTCTGCTAAGAGTGTGCTGAGAGTACAGGCATGATCAGAACCTTCTGAGAAGATGTCCCCCACAAAAAAATGATGATTTCCACTTCACGATCATCTTTTCAGGCACCTCTGCACAGCTTTTAGCTCGGCTGTTTTACGTGCACCTCTACAAAGAATGCTGGATCTCCTCCAGTGTGTAAACACAATGATCCCTCAGCTGGACTTTAATTTTTAGGAAGTGGGCAACATGGATGCATGACGAAAACTCCCCTCTGAGGGTTCACATCATACACAGTCTTACCTTTAAGGACTCACACTGTTCAGGTAACATGCTGCCATGGCCCAGGAGGGCCCATGAGTCTTAACAGCCTTGCCTTGTTTTTGGTCTTTGATGCCTGTGCATGTCAGATGTCTCAAGAGCCCCCACAGGGACCCGCCAGGCTCACGGTGATGCCAACACTATTTGGGGGAAATAAAGGTTGTATAGACCGCACCCATCCAGCATCAATCATCACCCGTCTCCTGTGGACCACCATCCTCCAGAAGCCCTTGACAGCAACCTAAACTTTGACATTTCTAATTCAAATGAATATTCAGAATGTCGGCTCATCACTCAAATTTTACATAACTACATAACCAAGCTTATAACTGCAGCAAAGCTCTGCTCATTATTTCCTCATTAAACCCACAACTGACCGCCCACCTCACATCCTGATCGCAGAAGCAAGCTGTGACCAAGTCTATAAGTTAAAGAAAAGAAAAAAGGACGAGCAGAACGCCGAGAAACCTGGATCGAGCGTGAGTGCGCCTGCTGGAAGCAGGTGCAGGAGCACACAGAGATAAACGCAGAGGCTAATTTGATGCCGAGTTTTATCACTCCTGCTGCAGGTCAGAAAGCGGAGCACAGCAGAGCTTCGCCTCCGGCTGCTGCCGTAAACAAACTGGCAACTGGACGCATTAAATAAAGCTTTAACACAAGCTACTCTCCTCTCGCTTTCAGACCACTTTTAGGTTTGGCTTCACACTTCTCTGCCAGTTTTTGTGCCTGCGTGCAACACATCCAACACAATTAGCTTTAAAAAGCTTAAAAAAGCAATAAAGTTCAACATGTTTCATTAAAATACTTGCTTCGGTTCTGGGAGGCAGAGCTGCACACAAAAGTACAGACAAGGTGTTTAGCATTTGGAGCTTCATGAGACCCTGAGGCCAAAATAAATACTTCACTGGCTCCTTTACTGTAGCCTGCTGTGTGCTGATAGCACAGCTCAGTAATGCTGCAGATTTTCAGCGTGGGTTTCACAGGCAAGTCTCAATGTGAATGGAGTCCATGCACCTTGCTCAGAGTCCTGACATCAGCAGGTGACCTCCGGCTCAAAGGTAAAGACAAAAGGCATCGCCCACCAGGGAAGCACAGTGGCGCCTTCACAGCTGTTTCTACCATAGGGGGTACAGCTGCACGTGAACGAGTCTCCTCGGGTTCCGGTCTGTGGTTGAGCCGGTATCGTCGGCTTTGTCTTTTTAGCGGCAGACGCGCGGCTGAGAGGTCCTGGCGCCGATGTGCTCGGATCAAGACACATTTTCAAAGAGCCTGAGCGTCCTCATTCAAATCTCTGAGCTTAACTCTTGGTGAGAGGACACCACTCAGCACCGCAGAGGAGGACCGATAAGACAAGCGCTTTACATCCTCATCCCTGTGCCGTAGAAAGTGTTTCCTCTTCCAGCTCCAGCAGCTTGAATCCACAGTGCTGCTGCAGGGATTACAGACTGTTTCCTAAAGCAGGAGCTGGAACGTTTTAGGGAGCTATGTTATGACCCCCTGTAGGAGTCAGTGATGGCTGGTTCTTTGCTGTTTTTGAATAACCGTTTGTATCTATAAGGATTCAAACGGTTCTTTAAAGATTAGTTTTTGGCTGTGAGGGTCAGCTAAACATGCTTCAGAAACCAGAAGAGTTACTCCAAAAGTCAAAGACGTATAAAGAGAATGTTCAGAAAAACCACAGCCGAGTGTTTGGACTACGGAAAAATCCTGAAAAATGGAAACCCTCCAACTTCATGGCATCACTCCTTAAAGAGTTACTTAAGGATAAAAATCTACCAAAACTGTGAGGGAACTTTTGAGGAATCAGACAATATAAAAGAAAACTGTGAGGAGGAGATCATCCTGACAAGGGGCATCATTTGTGTTTTGTTTGCTGTCATGTTACAGCTCTGTGTGTTGGTCTTTAGAGAGCAGAGCTGCTGCACTGCTGAACCTCACGGAGATCTTAATAACAGGAACCTATTAGAAGTGAGAGCAGAATAAAGCTGCTCTCTCACATATCGACACCAATAACGGAAAATCTGTCACACATGCAAACCATCTGTTGTCTAATGGACGTCTTGTAGGTAAAAGCCGAGGCTTTTATTTGTTTTAGGACCACATTAAGAGAAACACTGTGCGTTTTTACTAATTGTGAGCGTGCGGCGAGTTGACTGGCAGAATATCAAATGCAGTGTGTTCGGTTCAGCTGATGTACGAGACCAACATGGAGTTGAACCGCTGTAAGCGGCGGACACGGACACTCTGAAGGTCTCATTATGGAGACGTGCTCTCAGTAAAGCATTTAGCTGCAGAGCTGTTATTAAAGCCGGTTAGTGTAAGTCAGGACTGCGAGACACTGTCCTGAGTAGTTTGAAGCCGTAACCTGATATTTTACAGACCAGAAAATATTATGAGTTCCCCGAGTTGAGAAACAGGTCAATATAAAAAAAAAAAAAAAAGCGGACAGATCAAAAATCAAATCAAATGAAAACAAATATGAAGCATCAACCACAACAACAAACCCCAGAATTACAGCCTCCAAGTTCATCTGTGGCACCGGTCATCATATGGTGCCAACAACAAGGAGCCATTAATCACACATCTGTCACAGGGATCACTGACACATACTCAGAACTCAGATCTGAACACAAACACCATATTTTACTTGTTTTAATTCAGCACAGCCATCATGAAAAATAAATTCTCAGAAATTTGTTCAAAAATCAAATGAAAAACATCCAGAACTTCCTTAAAAATCACATTTGAGGACTACTGGTGCATGCATGAGTCCACTGCAGCACACTTCTAATAACTGAACCCAACCTGAACAGACCTTTTATAGCACACAAACACAGGATTCAACAGTTAGGACCCTCACGGATTGTCCCAGCTGTGTGTTCTGTATACACTCAATCAAAAATAAAGACTCATTTAAGGTCAAATGGTTGGACCTGGACTACCCCGTGAGCAGTGGGGGGTTAACATCTTCCTGCTTTGAGAATCTCATCAGAGACCTCCGCTCGCTCACAAACCAATTAACCCAAACTCATCGGCCGAGTCACGTGACAGACAGCACCTCCCAAACCGAGCTCGAGCTAAAGGCGGCTGGTGCAGATTGGATGATGCATTGCTGCCCCTGTATGAAGTTTACACACGCTCCCAGAAGATCATCCAAATGCTCCCTCCAGCTACAAACTCACTCACATCGCTGTGTGGATGAAAACTTTCTCGACAGACACACAAGAAAGCATGCTTCTCTGGTCTTACTGACCACTCTTCATCCAGACTTGAGGCCAGTTAACCTAAAGTGCACATCTGCTGGAGGACACATGAAAGCTCCACACAGTCTCCACCCAACCAGGAACTAACTCTTTAAGCCCTGCACCGCAGCACCTTCGACTTATCCTTCAAAGATGATGCCTTTGATTTATGCTCGTGTGGGACAAGTTTTATAGACTTCAGGCTACTGTCTACTGTCGCTGACCCCAAACATCTGTAGGTCTGAGAGCAGGAAGTTAAGTTTCAAGCTGTTGCAGAGTCTCTGAGAATCTGTCAAGTCCTGCTCTGACAGCGGATGGCGATGTCTCCAGCATGACCCAATGAGACATGCAGCAGTCTGACGTCACTGTGGAGCGCACTGCTACAGCAGAAGCAGCAAACAGAGCCAGGAGGACTGCTTTAAAGATCCCACCACTCAACAATCAAGCACAACGACAGAGAAAAATCACTGTGACAGAGGTTTGGAGGAGATCCCCAAAGCAGTCAACCTATTACCACAGTCTCCTTCATAATGGGAGAAAACCCCAAAAATGCTTCACTGCTTGATTAGCCACAGAAGTGCCACAGGAAACAGGAAGTGCATCATGCAGAAAATCTAAAAACACCTGCAACCTCAATCTTGGACGGCAGACTCGTGCACCCAGCGATGACATCACAGTGACAGAGACACGCCTCCTGCTACAAACTACACCCCTGTGTCTGCATCAGCACCAAAGCAGGTTTAAATCAGAATCAGAACTAACTAACTCTAAGGAAATTATGTGGGTTACAGTTGCTCCAAGGCAGCAACAATAACAGACTAAACTAATTAACTAATACAATATGTTACAGAATTTGCAAATTTAAGAAATAGCACTAATATGCAAATCACTCAGTTATAAATATCAAGAATATTGAATATACTGTGCTTTAAGAATTACATTATTAAAACACAGTTCTTTCCACGTCGTGTTTAAATTACAGATTTACGTTCGTAACTATGGATTTCTACTAAGACTAATAGCATCATGCAGACTCACCTCACTTCCTTCACTGCACACGATGAGGAAAACCTCTAACAAACAACACGAGTGATTACCACGAAAACCTCCAGAGCTCAGGTGCACTCGTGCTCGCAGACAGACACCGAGAAAAAGCTTCATGACATCAAACATTTCCTCCTTTGTAGCTTTAAATCCAAAGTGAAGCTGAATCTGAGCGGTCTGAAGCAAAGTTTAAAAAACGTTCAGGCCTGCTTCCAAAAACCATCACAACAACGCCATCTAATGGTGAAAGCAGCCACTTTAAACCCCTCTGACAGGCCAGCCGACTCACCTGAGGCAGACGCAAAGCATCCTGGGATGTGAGGCGACCAAATGGTGCTGTAGATGACCCCTTCATGACCTCTGAGGGTGGTCAGCGATGGACTGAGAGCAGGGTCCCACTGACGGAGATAAAACTAACATGAAGAAGACAGAACGCAGACGGAGAGGGGAAGAAAGGAGAAACTTTCATCTTACCACTTTCACCGTTTGATCCCACGATCCAGAAACTATCAGGCTTTCTCCTCGAGTCTGACTCCAGTCCACAGTGTACACCTGCACACACGTCACAGTCAGAACACCTGTGTGTGTGTCTGTGTGTGTGTAAGCATGTGTGCGTTACCTCCTGTGTGTGTTCTTTGGCCACCCTCAGTGGAGCACTGTGATTGGCTGTATCCCACAGCTGGAGGCTGCCATCGCCGCCGCCTGCCACCAAAACGTGCTCATTAGCTTCACTCCATGCCACGTCGAACAGGCCGTCACTCCACTCCCAGCTGAGACACACACACACGAGGATGACATAAAAACCTAATCTTTGATCTTTGACTGAATTCTTGTTTCCTTTATTCGACTTTAAAGGATTATTTCTGGGGGGTTTTAATGGTGTTGTGAAGCAGTCGCCTCCAGCACGGAGCTATGCAGCTTCCGACCGAACAAGTCTCTGTGTTTCAGTCTTCCCCAGATGTGGAGTCAACAACCTCAGAAATGGCACACTTCACACAAAGATTTCATATCTACTGAATAATCACACATGCGCCATCATTCAGAATGCAGATGAGGAGGAATGTGACTCCTACTGATTTGTATATATCATCTGCATTTTTATTATTTTCTGAGTTTTTAGACCATGTCACTCTCTCAGTGGAAGTCCTGGAAGTCAGTGGCAGCCACATAAAACCAGGGGTTTCTATCTGGTTTCCTCGCAGTCTGATAATAATCTGATCTGTGCTGAAATTAGATGAAACCGAGCCCTAAACCTCCTGCAACTTCTTATAATCATCATCTGTAAGCATAAAGGACAAAAACAGATGTTAGAGAGAGAGAGATGAGGAAACAGATGTTACCTTCTCACTAAGGTGAGCCCGGTCTCGGTCTGATCCAGGACCAGCAGTGTGCCGCAGCCTGTACACACACAGACAGAGTGGATGGGAATGAGAAAGCTGACTGTTTAAAAACAGCTGAAACGCACAGATCTGTGTTTCGGTGTGAAAACCGCGTGATCATCGTCGTCATCGGGGTCTGTTCAGCTCGCTGAGGTCGACGTTCAGAAACAAACAGCACGTCTTATTTTATTTCAGAATATTTATACGGATCAAAAGTCAGGAAACAGAAGTGATGAAGAGACACAAACTGGAGTTCCTCTAACGTCCGCACGAGGCTCCAGCAGTGAGCATTCATTCTTTATCACATCCAGGTGTGTTCTCCAAACTGTGACCACTGAACTTTACTGACCTGCTATCCCGTAGTACTGTGAGGCAGCACAGGCCACTCTGCTGGGGATATACGGAGACACTTCCACTGCGTAACCGTGACGGGCCGGACTGCGAAACACCTTCACCGTCATCATCGTCACATACAAAGAAACCCTGATGGACAGAAAGGTTTAAAAAGAGATGTGAAGCTCTGAGTCTGTTAATCTGTTCACACATAAGAAGTACGCGGGACTAAAGTAACGTTTTATGACTCAGACCGTGTCCGATCAGCACCTGCTCTCGTGTGGTCTGCAGGTGACAGAGTGACTTCACGGACCCTGATCACATTTAAATTAAAAATGGCTGTCACGTGACTCACAGAAACCAGGTCGTCTCGTGGAATCGAGAGAAAAAAAGCTTCAAAACTTCAGAGACCCACAGAAGAAGTTCCCGCTGCTCCTGCTGCTCTTCTCACCCCACTCACTGCTTCTCCACTTCCGTGTTTTGATCAGCTGACTCCGGATTGAACGTGTTTATACTTGTAGTTTTACAGTTCGCCGCCAGGTGGAGACATTTCTTTACCTTAAAACCAACAAGTGCGCTTATTAGAAATTATAATTCTTTAAAAACACGACATTCAGGTAAATGAAGCTAGACAGGTAATGTTACTTACATTTGTAAAAATTTATTTTCATTTTTAAATTTAAGAAAAGCTTTATAAATACCTGGAAAACTTCATATTTTATTAATTATAATTTTCTATTAAATGACATTTTTGGATTCTTATATTACGAGATGGAGCATCTGCACGTTCATGGAAGCAGTAATGGTCACTGCTTTTGTGCTTCGTGCAGTTAAAATATTAGTTTTCATTTCCTCAGAAATGACCAAAGATTAGTTTTATTTTTAAAACAGCAATTTTCTGGAAACTGACTTCAAACTGTGTTCAGAGTCTGTGCGTGTTCAGTAATCCACATGTTATTCCAGAGAACAGAAAATGATAGTTTGTATATGTAAGAAAACATCCTTGCAGCGGCAGTTTCCTGCTGAATCGGTGTTACAGCACAAGGATGAAAACTTCAAATTAAGGTGAAATATTCACAGCAGCACACTAAGAGCTCTTTTCAGTCAGTAATCAGGTTTTAATCGGCTCCTCCTGAAGCTCACTTTATGAGTGGTGCAATAATATTTGCAGCAGTCTGCTCAGATGTTTGCATATGAAGTTCACTCTAAGCATGACTCAGCTGTGAGCATTCACTTTAAAATAAAAACACAAATGACTGCAAGAAGAGTTTTTTTTTTTAAACAAAAAACAAAAACAGGACAAACAAAGAAAAATAAAATCAGCTGCAGGACTCAGGAAACTTAAAAAAATGTTCCAACTCAGGACTGAATAACATGGGAGAGTAGTGAACACAAACCAGAGTGAAAGGAATCCTTTGCGTTCAATGCTATCTGGGAAAAATCACGCTCTTATGATTGTTTAGAAATACAGACAGAAACTTTTCTGTAATACAAAATGTGCTTTTCTGCATCACACACTGATCATCACTGAATTCCTGATTAAGAGGAGAAAGCAAAGATCACACTTTGATCTCAGTGTGACCGGCCTTTCAAAATAAAAGTACATAAAATACATTGAGTGGTGTTAACAGTCTCATCTCAGAGGAACACGAACCAACACGTCTCTGTTTGAGCTTCGCGTCATTCAAAAGTCATAAAAGATCCTTGTTCACGTCAGATAAAGAAGTATTTTGGTCGGGGACAGAGGAGAGGAGGAAAAGTGTGTCTGCACTGCTGGAGTGCACCACCCGCCCTGACGTAGCGTGTGACACTTTGGGACCACAAACTTAACAACAGTAATTAATTTGCTACAAAGATCTTAACAGCAGATCTTTATCACTTTACCTGCTCGCATCAGGATTCAGGCTACATGGACGCATGAAGGAGGCGGAGCCTGCAGCTTATTAAACACATGATACAAGCTGCACCCGTTCATGTCTGTCTGTGTGTGTGTGTAACAGCGTGCTGTACAGTAGTGAAGTATTAAAGTGTGTGCTCTGATTGCTTTAGTGAGTATGAACGCTGACGGTGCTCGATCACAGACTCATCTTAGCTCTGTGATCAACTGACAGCTGGACAAACGCAGACAGTCAGAGAACAGGCGTCTGCTTACTGTCCTCGGCTGCGCTGTTTGACCGTCTGAGTAAGACGACAGAATAAATACTCTGTATTCAGATGTAGGCTTCATCTACAAAGGTTCAAATTTTAGACACTTTAGTATCAAATCACCACTTTGACAGTTACAAGCCGATGAAGCTGTCTTACATCTGCAGACGGCCTTCTTGCAGGAATAAAGTCGGTCGTGAAAAACTGTTTCTGGACAGATTCTTGTGAGAAATCTAAACTTTAGAAAGTCTCCTGCTGCTGAACACGGATGTGCACGTGCACAGAGTCCTCTGTGTAGAAGTTTAAATTCCCATTAAGTAATCAGACATCAACACTGAAGCGTGGCGTTAACCCTGCAGTGACCCCGATGTGCCCGAAGTCCTGCTTTGTGCAGACATCCGTTTAGTCATCGATGAAAACAGAAACCCAGGATCTGGAGTCATCGGTCAGGGACAGACCATCAAATCTGGAGCTACCTGAATCACCTGTAAGAAGAGTCGGCACGTGTGGAGTCTGCAGGGAGGATTCAGTCCTTCCCCTTTGAATGAGCTTCCAACAAAACGTTCGTGGGCTCACTGGAACTTTCTGGCGCCAAACTCGGCCTCGTGCAGAAACTGCTGCATCTTGGTTCGGACCCATGACTGTTTCTCTGCTGTCAGTCTCCTCATAGCCGGAGCCAGGCTCAGCAGGAACAGCGTCACGTCGTCCCTCTGCTCCATGTCACGCTCCCTCTGCACATCCCTGGCTTCTGTCTTCATCAGGAATTCCTCCAGCAGGCCGTCGACGCTCTTCCTCTTTGGCCGGAGCGGTCTGGGAGAAGCGGGGTGGCGCTCTTCCTCCACCTCCTCCTCCTCGTCTGTTTGGACGAGCAGCTCGTCAACGTCGCCTTCCGGCTCCTCTGTCTTCAGCTGGTTCAGCCGCGCCACGGTCCAGGACAGCGGCGGGCTGCGATGATGACTCTGCGGATCCTGCTGCAGAAGAGGGGTCTGCGAGGAAGAGCGTGACGTAGCTAAGGTCGTAGCAAGAGATGTCACCGAGTGCATCATCATCTCAAACAGCTCCTTCATGTTGGCGTGCTGCTGCGTCTGCAGGCCGTCGTCAGTGGCTGTGGCACCTGAGTTCACCTCAACCTTTGCTTCTTTGGGCCTGGACGGGTCCAAGCCGACGGAGGGTGGCCGCTTCCTCTGCGGGAACTCTGAGGATGAGGACGAGGATGTCGTCGTGGTCGCGTCAGCTACAGCGAACCCTGAAAACAGACAAAACAATCAGAACTAAATCAATGTCGAATCACGAGAAAATATTAATCAAAAGCCATCAGAGATCCGGGTGCTCGGACTGCACATGGAAAAGCTGATGAGGAAGTACTGCAGGCTGGCCAATCAGAAGGAAGTGTCAGTACGAACCGTAGCTCTCGTCGTCGTCGCTCCGCGTCTCCGTGGTCGTGCTGCAGCCGACCATTTCGGCCACCTGGACCTGAGAGGGCTGTGGGTCCAGGGCCCAGCCGTTGGTGCCGGCTGCCCGGGCATCGATGAACGGATTAAGGAACGACAGGATGGACGAGTATCTCCATGGCCGGTAGTTAAACAGCCCGATGCCGCTCTCGCGCCGCTCCTTCTCACGCTGCCTCTCCCTCCTGTGCTGGTCTCTCAGCGTCTTCCACTTCCTTCTGCACTCCGACTCTAATGTGGAAAACCACAAGTTTGCTTTAATTAAACCATAAAACCATCAAATCCAACAGTAAAAGCATCCTGCTGTGTCCACAACCAGAGACACACACAGAGTCACATTAAACGCTTTATTTTCACCTGCATACAAAAAACTAAAACTAATCTTTGCCCTAATTTAGTTTATTCTGCAAAAACTAAAACAAACTCCCAAACAACCAAACTATTTTTGTTTGCTTGGTCATATTTCACAGCAAACTTGTGTTTGGACAATATTCAACATTTGAAGCAATTTGACTGAAAATAACAAACAGTATTACTCACATGTGAAAATACTCACGGCTCCAAACTCCTGTGTGACTTTTAGCCAAATATGAATTTCAATCATAATTTTTGCTTCCAATGGTTATTTAAAAAAATGATTAAAAATAATACAAACAATTAACTAAATAGTATTAATTAAAAGGACCAAAAAAGGCAATAATAAAATAACAACCAATTTAAAAAAAACAAAAACAAATGCAGAATCCAGATAAATTTTAAACATTCAAACTATTTTTTGGGATATTTTTTACAATTTACATTATGTTTCCTTCCATACATTTATGATTAAACATATTAGGCTGTTTGTTTAAAAAAAAATCCAAATAATAAAAATTCCGTTGAATTTTATTTTAAAGGCTTTTAAATATAATTTAAAACGTCAGTAATTTCTATCATGTTATTATTAATTTTTAATGTTAAAACATATAAAGCCATAAATAACAAAAGCGTATTAACAGCTCCTTTATTCTGTATTTTATTTTATTTTATTTTCCTTTCTTTTCTTCAGCGAACCATAATTTACTGTATTTGAAAAATTTTAAGTTCAGTTAACAAAGACTGTCTACATGAGTAAAACCTTAAATACTTGTGTTACAAACACACATACATATTTGGTCGTCATCACCTTTTCCCCCCAGTTCTGATTACTAGAAAAATCCACTACGACCAGTTAATTCCCAGTAATTACAATATATGAGTAAAAGCCGCTGATTAAAGTTGTCGTAGATTTTCTTACAGTGTTTCTTTCATAAATCTGTGCTGATTATTCTGAAGAGGAACCATTGTGCTGGAGCCGAGAGGCGACGAGCGTCGGAACATAATAAGGGTCGGACCGTATTTGTTTTGAACTTTTCTCTTTGATGAAAATCTGAATGTTTGACATGTTTTGAAAGTTTTCCTCTCGCCCACATCGAAAGTGCTCCCGTGTGAGAGCTGAAGTTCGCGCCGGGATCTCGGCGCTGTTCTGAAACTCACCGGGGACTCCGACGATCTCCGCCACCTGCCGCCACGCGTCGCTCCGCATGTTCAGGTCCCGATAGGTCGGGGAGTTCATGTCGTAGAGACTCGGGAAGCCAGAGACCGCCATGATCAGCTTGTATTCCATTCTCCTGTATTTAAAACTCTGGCAGAGCGGAGCCGGACTGGAAAGAAAATAAAAGAACGAATGGGGGGAAACACTACTTCCGTTTCCGGTGCGTCACAGCTCATTTGTATAAAAAGTGACCAGATTTCAGTCCTTCGTTCACTAGTGGTGTGCGATACTGCATATTTTGCTATCGATCCGATACCAAGTAAATGCGGGCCAGTATCGCCGATATCAATACTTTTCAATAAATAAGGTGGATACATCATTGAATTGCTAAATCTCAATTAATTTTTATAACCTTGTGTTTTTTGTGATGTTTCCTTTTTTATTATTAAGTAGTTAAAACCCAGGACATAATTAGGATAAAGTTTATAATTAAATAGAAAATGCTTTCTTATTGTGGCTGCTCTGCGATGCCACTGCAGGTGAGATGGACTCACCTGCACCGCGTCTACAATCACGCCTGGCTGGCTTAAAACCTGTGCTCTGCTTGTGTTGTTGTTAGTGATGTGTACAGCTGGCGAGCTGCAGCGGTTGTACTAATGTACTGTTAGAGAAATCGTGTGATTATTTTAACGGTGGACAGCGCACGGCAAGGACCGGTTCGGGGTGAGCCGGAGGCTGGCGCGGCAGCGGGACCTGCCAAGCTGGAGACATATGTGCGCAGGGGTCCTGCCACACCCGAGGGCAGCGTGCTGTCCGGTCCAGCCTCTCTTCCAACAGAGGCAGCACGCTGCGCGGTACTGCGCGCCGACCGCCTGCTCAGCTGCCTGTGAGCCCCGGCTCACTTCCATGCCTGCTGCCCCGCCGCTGTTTGCCACATGGAAGGCTACCTGGGGCGACGATGATCCGGGCCGATTCCCTTGCCTGCTCGCGGAGGGGGCGAGTAGGTTAGATTCGGCCTCAGGGGCGAAGGGAGTATGTGACGGAGTACGTTCTGCGATGCGCTGCAGGTGAGATGGACTTACCTGCGCGGAATCTACAATCATGCCTCGCCGGCGTAAAACCTGTGCTGTGTTCTGTGTTGTTGTTGATTGTGATGTGTACTGTTACAGCAGCCATGTGATTATTGTAAGAATAAATCATGCTGTGAAGCATGAAAATGCCATCAGGTCTGCCGTGGCAGTTTACTTTTTTTTTTTTTATTTTTTTAATAAAAATTTTACAATAAATTGTGCAAACCAGTAAACAAATCAAAACAAGTACTGTTGAGAAACTATAATACAAAATTTACAATTAAAATTCTCAATAACAATAACTGGTAAAAATATAAATAATATGTAAACAACAGGCACGTGCAGAGGGGGGCTAGAGGGGCTTGAGCACCCGCCCCTTTCCTGATGGGTGACCAAGGTGCCCTTTTTTTGAGGCAACTTTTTTTTTTTTTTAATTCTTATTATTTTTTTTAATGTACGTGCGTGCGGAGTCCTGTCTGTGCCCCTCAACAGTAATATTTAACTATTAATCACAGTTTTGCTAAATAAAAGGATCTCGCTTGCATCAGTCACATGATCACATTTAACCAATGATCGCCCTTGACGGCAGAACGCGCTGGTTACGAGCCGGGAACGAGCTCACAAAGAGCACGCGCATTTTTTCCGGTCCGGAGCTGTAGGAGAAACACAAGTTAACTCAGAGACACAGACTGGTGCGACAAAACCAGTAAGTAGGTGTACAGCGTACACTGTAGTGTGTAGCACACAGGAGTATGGGCTTACAAGTAGTGCTGGTCATAGCTGCTGGCTACCTGGCTGTCATGGGTCTGTAGCTCTGTCACCGTTTTAGGAAACATATTTAGTTTTAAAGTAAGCTACAGGGCTTTTCCTGCCTTTCTGGGGGGATTATATTTCACTAAAAAACGATCTAATATGCATGTCCACATAATTATGCATTATTATAATTAGAATATATTAAAAAACACACGCTGTATTTTAAAGAACATACATTAAGAAGCAGATTATATTAGATTTATATTTTAAATAAGACAAAATTTGGATTTTACAGCAGTAAAATTATTGTATCTCTACAGTTTAAAAATGTAATAAGCTTTGCCCCTTCACAGAGTGGATAAGGAAACAAATGGAATCATTATAATGACATTATTTCATATTTATTACTTCCCCCTCCTCATTGCTTTATTATTGTAGCTCTAGTAATAAATATGTAAGGATTCTGGATCAGCACCATGATGCCCATAGTATATACAGTATTCTGAAGAAGGTCTAAAATGTCACTGTGTGCGCGTGCATGTGTGTGTTTTATGTATATCGATTTTTTTAAATTATTACTCATGATATAACATTGTCCAGACATGCCTGGTAAGGACATGAGGAGGAAACAGTAGGAGCTGTGTGAGGCTACTAAAGGCAGGGCTATAACATTTTTCTGTCATCATTTTATTATAGATTAAGTGCAAGAGTTGTTAGGTGTGGATAATTAGATTATAGTTTATTGCAATAGCAAGTTGTGCCTTGTTCTCAGATAGACAGCAAGTGGAGAGTGATATATGAAATGATGGGATGGAAGGTATAAGAGAAGCAAAGAGTGATTCACAGGCAGAGCCTAGTTTATTTCTCACAGTTTTTTGTTGCCTTATGGTTCCAAGCGCTGTCACCAATCTTTGCATTTTGTTATTATCTCATGACACTTGTTTAATCAGCTACCATCTCTCCTGTGGACTTTTTAATGTCTACAGTCTCAGACCAACACAGCCCTGCCCTCCAGCACTATCCACAGCAACCCCTCAACAGCAACATTGTACCCATCAGGTAAAGCATCGGCTACATTTGCTTTGCCTTTTTGCCCATATTAGATTCTTGATGAATGTGTGTTGTTGTTATTCAGCCTGGTTCAATGTGCCCCTTTTTAACTTTGAGCACCTGCCCCTTTAAACCTCTCTGCACAGCCCTGGTAAACAACTTAACAACCCCCAACGCGTCTAAGTCAAGTCACGTGACAGCGCAACATGTAAACACAGGAGGGGGAAGAGGGAGCAAAGTGCTTCTGCTCTGCGCTGACACAGGAGCAGCGAGTCCAGCGACCTGGCTGTTTCATGCCATGCCATCAATGTGGATTGTCCAGACTGAGAGACCGCACGCTCATTGGATAATGACTTGTCAATCTCAAATTATTAACCAATGAGCGTGCGGATTCACAGAAAGACTTTATCACGGGACTTTTTAAAAACTACAATGGCGACAGAAACTCCGTGAGTGGAGTTCAGGGTGACGTTATGAAACTGTGACGTTTGAGCCACTTCCTGTTCTCAGTCCCAGCGTCCTGATCACCGAGGTTTCTGTTGCTCTGATATCTGATATTGATTATATTGGTAAACAGGCTGTAGACGTAAACATCAAACACAGCTGAAACAGTTTTCGGATGGTTGGCTTCAAATGATCTGTCGGTTTGAAAAGTAAAAACAATTTTTAAAAAAAAGGTGAAGCTGATGCAGGGTGAGTGTTAACACCAGGACTTTAGAGGGAAGAAGAGTCACAGCTCAGCATGTTGTTGACGGGTTGTTGTTCAATCGGGGGAAGACATCTGAATCATTGCAGGGGGAATGTCTTTCACAACTTTAATGAATTTACTTTGAGTACATGATATGCCATAATTATATGAATTCGTTATATGTTAACACATTTCCGTCATTGTCTAAAAGGTGTAAAACCGTCCAAATTCCATCCAATCCTCATAAAAGATGGATTTTCTTTTATCGTATACATCTGTTGTTCCAAATCGAATTTGTATGTGGAGAAAAATATGCTTGTCGAACGCGCCGCTGTGACGTAATCGGCCTTGAAATGCGTACTTTAAGGCTGCAGACCCTGAATTGGGATACAGCCACTGACATGAGACAACCCTTCACAATAAAACAGGAAACAAGAAACAGACGCAGACTTGACACTGAACCTATACTAAACACGAGACACAACCTAAGAACTAATCCCTCACTAAGAATAACAGAAACATAGAATACCAATAAACAAAAGCATCGGGATACAAACCATAATACAAAGTAATATAAGAACTGAAAATGCTGGGTCAAAATGACCCAGAACCGTGACAAAAGCCCAGAGTTCAGTTTGGTCTTGAATTCTTTTAGTTTCTTCTCCACGTTCAACGACCGATTTACTTTTTGGTCCTTTGTGAGATGAATTTCCAAATATCTTATTTCTGATTTAACAGGAATCTTACAGTTTATCATTTATGGCAAAGAGTTCACAGTTATTAGGATTTAATGTTAATCCAGATGTCTTGGAGAGTTTTTACATTTTTCACTAGTTATTGGAACTTGATTTGTTTTATCTTGAAGATGGCTGTTAAAAGAGGGGGGGGTGTGTGGGGGTGGTCTAGGTTTATGTCGTGTATGTTTACAGATGTATATAGTCAGTAAGTGTCCGGCTGCTCCGTATGCGATTAGAATGATGCCACCTTATCCCATAGTCCAGCCAATGATGCGATTCACATTCGTATATACGCAGCTAATCAACAATGCAGTATGACAGCCTATGACAGCGTCCTTATGTGATTTTAGCGAGCAAAGCGGCGTGGCTGATGTGGAGTGATACATCTGCCTGTTGTCAGGCCTGCAGGTATCAGGCTGTTGTTCTCCTTTATCTCATAGTGGACAGAAATTATTTTTTGCAGTGGCACAAATAATTTGTGTGGCATCAGATTTGATGCCGAACAGCTGATTGTTCTGTAAATAGTTTGAAATGTTATTTTAAAAACGCCTTGGCTGCATTTTTAGGTAAACAGCTGCAAAAAACTTTGTTTGCATAACTCACATAACTCATAACTCAAACATTACAAAATCCAAACGCTGAACTGCACCTATGCCACAGAGCTTCATTCCAACACATCAGATTAATGACGTTCCTTTCAATAAACCTTGGACACACACAATTAACAGGAGTAACATCCCCACTAATCTGCCTGTTAAACCTAACTCAGCCTAGTCTTCCGTACATACTGGCGATGGGTATTTATGTACCTCCATACCGTCAGCTGTGAGGAAGACAAACTGTCTTAAACACAAACTGCGGCGGTACTCCCAAGCCAATGGCTTCAGCCGCCTGATGCACAATAGAAAGCAAATCAGTACAACGCCTAATGCAGGTGAAACTGCTGAAACCTAACAGGGGAACAAGACTCCTGATTGAAAG